TGACTGTGGCAGACTGTTTCCGACTGATCAGGAGGCTGTGTGTGTGTGTGTGAGAGAGAGAGACTCTCTCTCTCTCTCTCTCATCCTATCGATGGAAGTATCCTCTCTCTACCTGTCTGTGTGCATGGCTGGAAAACTGTGTGTGTGTGTGTGTGTGTGTGTGTGTGTGTGTGTGTGTGTGACACACACACACACGCGCGCGTGTAGTATTTTATATTTCGATGTTCTAGCAGAAGATTCATTTGATTTTGCTCATCCTATCGATGCAAGTAGCGTGAGGCCAGTCGCGAGGTCGGAGACTTACCTGTTGGCTGGTGCGTTGCTCATCCATCGAAAACTCTCTCTCTCTCTCTCTCTCTCTCTCTCTCTCTCTCTCTCTCTCTCTCTCTCTCTCTCTCTCTCTCTCTCTCTCGTCCTCCCTTTTACACCGCTTAACAACAACAGATGATGGATCGTCCTTTTCCTGCTCCTCCCGCTCTTTCTCCTCCTCCTCCCGCTGCTTCTCCTGCTCTTCCCCCTGTTCCTCCTCCCGCTCCTTCCCAATCAGTTTGGCCTTGGTGTTACACCCCAACTCATCCTTCTTCCCTACATCCACCTGCTCCTCCTCTTCTCCCTCCTCCTCACGTATGCCGCCTCCTCCTTCTTCTCCTGCGCTTCCTCACCTTCTCTTCCTCGTTATTGTTCCCCTCCTCCTCCCGCTCCCAGTCTTCGTCCAGCTCCGGCTCCTCATCCTGCTCCCGCTCCTGCTCCTGCACCCGTGAATTTCCTCCACCAACCGACACCCCCGCGGGCCACGACGACGTTCGTCAGCAATACGGCCCCTGCGAACCTACGCGCAAATACGGCCCCCGCTGCCTCGAATTTCCCCCACAAACCGAGACCCCCGCGTGCCAGCATGACGCCTGTCGCAAATACGGCCCCCGTGAACCGACGCGCCCTCCTCGATCCCCTGCGGCACCCCGCGCGGAACTCCCTGCCCGATTTTGGCTGGGCCCAGTGGGAGCGTCACGCGCGGACCGCTTTTTCCTTTAAAGTATATTAGAGAAGACAAGTGAACCCGCCTCGCCGCAGCCAAGGGACGGCCCAGGGACGACAGGGAGTGCAGAGAGGAGGAAGGAGGACAAACGCAGAAAACAGGGAAGACCATGAGAAGAGAACACGGAGAAAGAGAAAGGTGGAAGAGTACATGAAAGTGAACACATGAATCAACATGCGAATCGGGGATGTGAAGCTCGATGAAGCCAAATCATCGTCCCATTCCTTTGCTTCCTGCTCTCCTCCATTCTGTTGATCATGCCCCTGTTGATCCTTCTTCATCCTGTTCCATCTACCCTTTTTCCCGTCGTTTATTTGCATGGTCATTTCCCATGCCACTTCCCTTGTTGGCGCTTCCCCTTTCTGTCGCCATATCCTCCCTTCTCTTCATTCTTCCACTCCCCTGCTCATTCTGAAATTTGCCAAGTACTCGCCAAGCTCAACGTCGCATACATCAATGAACATTCACATGAGAGTTCACAAGTGAGAAGCCAAATCAAGATACAATCAACACTTGAAGATGTCGTCTCCAATAATATTATCAATATACAAGAATCATTGAAGAATGTTTGTCTCCACTCCAGCGGCTCTGCCGCACACACACACACACACACACACACACACACACACACACACACACACACACACACACACAACGGATCCCAATCAGGTGGCGGCTATGGTTTCTCACCCTTCTCTCTCCCTCTCTCTCTCGTCTTGCTTCTCTCTCTGACTTGGCTCGCTCTGCCTCACTCTCTCTCTCTCTCTCACTAACCTAGATCGTCAGCCTGGATACACCCACTCGGGTAAGCTTACACCTTGGCGGCTATGGCTGCCGTCCTCCTGCTCTACCTCTAGCCTAGCTATTAAGTATCGCACAAGCGCTCTCTTTCAGGCGCACAGTGCCCAGGTTGCCTTAACGCACAAGCAGCAGCAGCACTTCTGCATCTCGCAACTGAACAAGTGATGAACCGCTGCACTGTAGCAGCTAAATATAGGACTTGGCTTGGCTTGGCTTGGCTTGGCTTGGCCTGCTTTAGACCGGTACCAGTCTTCCATGGCCTGCTGCAAAATTGGACTTGGGGACTGTCGGACCGGACTGAGCTCTTCCGGACTTTTCTTTCGGGTACCGGACGGACTTCTACCGACCTACAACGTTTGGACCCCTAGACCCTACGGCCTACACTACTGGACCGCCATGGGACTGGGGACTTGTTGGGACCCTGGGACCGGGACTGGGTGTCTGCCGTCTGAATCCTTTCAGTTCTTCCTCCTCCTCGATTGCGACCGTTCATCAGGCCATCCCAATCTGATGTTGCAGACATCGATCATTGAGCACGGAAGCAAAAAAAAATAAAGAAAGTAAAAAAAAACAATCACGACATAGCTCCCTTGTCCTCCATGCCGCCGTTCCCTTTCTTTGTCTTGGCGCTCCCCCTTTGTGTCGCCTCTCCCCTGCTCATCCCTCCTCGCATCTCCTCCCTTTTCTTCATGCTGCCACTTGCCTGCTTATCTTTCCTCCTTCCGCCCATGCGAACCTCATAGCACCCATGCCGAACCTCATAGCACCCATGCGACCCTCCATCCGCCCATCCCAATTGCACAGCGTGCATGCCAATCCTCCATCTCTCCTTCCAACTTTTCCAAGACGTAGCATGCATGCTAAAGGAATAGACAAGAAAAAAAAAAAAAAAAAAAAAAAAAACTTCACCACATAATTCCGTTCTCATCCATGCCTCCATGCCGTCGTTCCCTCTCTCTACGTTGGCGCTCCTTTCCGTCACCACTCCCCTGTTCTCCTCACGACCCTTCATCACACCATCCCGATCTGCTCTCCTGCATCCCCTCCTGCTCGTCTTCTACATCATCTTTAGCCTCCTGGCTTCACCCCCCTCCCCCTTGTCCTCGTCCTTCCCTCCGCTATCTTTCATCATCGCTTTCAAAAGAATTCAGAAAAAAAAGAATGTGCTCGTCCTCCACTTCGTCATCACCTCCTCCCACTTGTTGTCATCCCGCCGCTTTCTCTCTCCATCTCGGTCCTTCTCCCTTCTGTCGGATCGTCATCCCTTTCAAAAAAAAAAAAAAGAACCGTACCCGTCCTCTGGTTCCTCATCGGCCTCAGCCACTGGTGTCCCTCCTCGCCCATCCCGCCGTTCTCTCTCCATTTTGGTCCTCCTCCTCCTTCTGTCGATCGTCATCTTCGTCTGCTCCTGCTCTCGATCTCTTCTGTCCATCATCCCTTTCCTTTGCTCCCCGCTCCTGCATCCTATCCATCTTGCCTTCCAATCGTACCGCTTCGGTGCCACTTCCCTGTTCATCCCTCCTGCTCCTCTTCATTTCTCTACATGGTCACCCAATGTCCTCTTCACTTCCCTCCTCGCTTGTCCGGGTTGTCCCATCGTTCTCTCTCTCCATCTCCATCCTCCTTTCTGTCGATCACCCCCTTCCTTTGCTCCTGATCTCGATCATCTTTTCTGATCGTGCCTCCCTGACTCCCCCTCACTCATCTCCTTTTGTTACTCTTCACTTCCCTCCTTGCTTGTCCGGGTTGTCCCACTGTTCTCTCTCTCTATCTCCATCCTCCTTTCTGTCGATCACTCCCTTCCTTTGCTCCCGATCTCGATCATCTTTTCTGATCATGCCTCCCTGACTCCCCCTCACTCGTCTCCTTTTGTTCCTCGCTTTCCAACGTGCATCTCCGCACTCACGTTCCTCCTTCGATGCTTCGTCCATTGCGTGACGCCCGTGTCACATGCAGACATTCCTCCTTTGATGTATGGCACGCCAACTTTCCAATGCGCGCGTCACATGCAAATGTTCACCGGAGGGGGTGTGCCCGGCCAGCCAGTCCGAAACTTCGACAGGCCCTGGAGCGAACATTCCAGACCCAAACTTTGCCCAACCCAAATCGTGTTCATGCCCGTCCACCAAAAAACAAAAACAAAAACAACCGCGCCCAAAAAAAACAAAACAAAACAATTTGGCACTTCCCGAACGGCTGCGAACCACTGGTACCACCTCCCAACCGTTTTTTTGTTGGGCCCAAGTGGTAGCGCTACGTGATATCTGCTATTTCTTTTAGGAGTGCGGCATTTGAGTGAACAATGAACATCCAATTCCAGCTTTGGCTTCAGCTGGCATTTGAGTGAACATTGCATACTTTGAGAACCTGCGGACTTTAACCATCACATGAGTGTTCGGATTCCGATCTTTAGTAGATTCATGAAAGTAACATAGAGAGATTTCCCTGGTCCTTCTGGGATAGGAAGTGGTCCAAGAGATCCGACAGGATTCTGATGGGAAGGCTTATTCCTTTGGCAGACAGCCCAGTTTCCTACATATGTGAAGACATCTTCTTTCAAGGCCACATGAACTGTTCCATGCACGCCTGCCCTGCTTTGGAGAGCCCACTCCGCGCCTCGGGTTGAGTTAGGGCTATTGTTGCATGTGGAAATGACATGCAGCCATAGCCCTAACTCAACCCGGCAGTGAGGTTGTTGTTTTACTGCACAAGTTTTTTCCCTTCCGTCTGGTTTTTAATAATGGGGGCCTTATGGGGCAATCACCTAACATCAAGATTTACGCTTTTGAACTTTTTATCACTAACATCCATCGTGTGTATCGCAGACAAGGGAAGGGAAAGATGGAGAGGGGAAGGGAGGGGAAGGGAAGGAATGAGGGCCAGGGCGGAGAGAGAAGGGAAGGAGGGGAGGGGTGGAGAAGGGAGGGGAATGATAGAGTAAGGAAGAGAGGGATTACCTCAGAGAGGAGAGGGAGGAGATGAGAGGGGTGAAAAGGAGGAAGGAGAGGGGATGGAAAACGGGATGTACATCAGGAACAGGAGGGATGAGAGCGAGGAAATGGAGGGGACGAAGAAGCAAACGGTGTTTACAACCTTACATGGCAAAATACAAGAAACAGTTACAAAATGCTTCGGTTTAAGTTTTATGTCTCTGAGGGAGTCGAACAAATTAGTGGCACCACAGTCCTTCAGAATGGGGAGGGGAAGGAATGAGGGCCAGGGCGGAGAGAGAAGGGAAGGAGGGGAGGGGTGGAGAAGGGAGGGAAATGATAGATGAGGGAAGAGAGGGATTACCTCAGAGAGGAGGAGGAGGAGAGGGAGGAGAGGAGAGGGGTGAAAAGGAGGAAGGAGAGGGGATGGGAAACGGGATGTACATCAGGAACAGGAGGGATGAGAGCGAGGAAATGGAGGGGGCGAAGAAGCAAAGGGTGTTTACAACTTTACATGGCGAAATACAAGAAAACAGTTACAAAATGCTTCGGTTTAAGTTTTATGTCTCTGAGGGAGTCGAACAAATTAGTGGCACCACAGTCCTTCAGAATGGAGGTTCTGGAAAGGAGGAATTACTGCCGCCTGCAGAGCCTAACTGCAGCCTCAGCAATTCTGAAAGACGTGTTTTAAATGTTTGGGTGAAGCACAACGCCTCTTCTGTATCATAGTCAAATGTCTGTTGTAGAACTATCTCTGGAGGACAGGTATCACAATTCGCCCTGCTTATTTTTGGTGAATTTGTCATTGTGCTTGGAAACCAAATGCTGTACCAGATTCGCCTAGCTCTTCCCATCGGAAATATTCTAGGTGCCGTAGGCAGATAACATGTTTGCATTATCCTTTTCTTTTCTTTTTGGCAGTTACGTCTTTCCTCCTCCCGGAAAATATTAGAGGCAGATAGATTGTTTGCTGATGCTTTTCCCTCTCCTTTGCATGGGCTTTCAACAAGTATGTATGTTCCATAGTTGCGGCGCACCAGTGTGCAGTGTGGTGTGGGCCGGAGCGCAGTGTGCTGTGCGCTGGAATGACAGTGCGCGCACTGTGCGCCGTGCTCAGTGCGCGGGATGAGGGAGGTGCACCCTGTGCGCAAAAAAAAAAAGAAAAAGG